GCGTGTGATGGAGCATTGCCCTGCATGAAAATCATGTTTTTCTTGAAGAATGCAGACTTCTTCCTGTACCACTGCTTGAAGAAGGTGTCTTCCAGGAACTGGCAGTAGGACTGGGAGTTGAACTTGACTCCATCCTCAACCCGAAAAGGCCCCACAAGCTCATCTTTGATGATACCAGCCCAAACCAGTACTCCACCTCGCTGGCGTCTGAGTCGGACTGGAGCTCTCTGCCTTTACCAATCCAGCCACGGGCCCATCCATCTGGCCCATCAAGACTCACTCTCATTTCATCAGTCCATAAAACCTTAGAAAAATCAGTCTTGAGATATTTCTTGGCCCAGTCTTGACGTTTCAGCTTGTGTGTCTTGTTCAGTGGTGGTCGTCTTTCAGCCTTTCTTACCTTGGCCATGTCTCTGAGTATTGCACACCTTGTGCTTTTGGGCACTCCGGTGATGTTGCAGCTCTGAAATATGGCCAAACTGGTGGCAAGTGGCATTGTGGCAGCTGCACGCTTGACTTTTCTCAGTTCATGGGCAGTTATTTTGCGCCTTGGTTTTTCCACACGCTTCTTGCGACCCTGTTGACTATTTTGAATGAAACGCTTGATTGTTCGATGATCACGCTTCAGAAGCTTTGCAATTTTAAGAGTGCTGCATCCCTCTGCAAGATATCTCACTATTTTTGACTTTTCTGAGCCTGTCAAGTCCTTCTTTTGACCCATTTTGCCAAAGGAAAGGAAGTTGCCTAATAATTATGCACACCTGATATAGGGTGTTGATGTCATTAGACCACACCCTTCTCATTACAGAGATGCACATCACCTAATATGCTTAATTGGTAGTAGGCTTTCGAGCCTATACAGCTTGGAGTAAGACAACATGCATAAAGAGGATGATGTGGTCAAAATACTCATTTGCCTAATAATTCTGCACTCCCTGTAGTTCATTCGTCAGCATAAACTCATAAGTCGAAGAACTGATTGGCAGTTAGAGACATTGGCGGATCCAGGGGGGGGGCAACGGGGCAATTGCCCCCCCCCCGAGAAATCCGCCGGTCTCCCTCCCCTGCCAGCCGTGCAATGTGCCTGCGGACCGGGGAGGAAGATCAGAGATCTCCCTCCCCGGTCCGCAGGTACCGTGCTGACAGCCGGCGGCGGAGGGAGGGAGTGAGAGAGAGGACCCGGAGCTCAGTCTGCAGCTCCTCCGGGTCCTCCTCTCGCGGGATTTAAAGCGTTGCCGCGGTTACCACGGCAACGCTCCAAATCTCGCGAGAGTGAACTCTAGCCCGGGAGCGTGGACTAGAGTTCACTCTCACCACCTGACCACCAGGGAATCACCACTGGGACCACCAGGGATGGAGAAATGTCCCCCCTCCTGCTCAATAAAGGTAAGAAGGGAGGGGGGACATATTTATTTTATTAAAAATTTTTTTTTAAATTATTAATTATTATTAAAAAGCCTCCTTCCCCCCCCCCCATTACACACACTGCCCCATTACAGGGGGGCAGTGTGTGTGTGTATGGGGATAGTGTTTGTGGGGCAGTATGTGTAATGGGGGGGGGAGGAGGTTTTTTTATAATACATTTTTAAAATAAATATTCTGCCCCACAAACACTCTCCCCATACACACACTACCACCCATACACACACTGTCCCACAAACACTGTCCCCATACACACACTGCCCCACAAACACTGCCCCCCATACACACACTGCCCCACAAACACTGTCCCCATACACACACTGCCCCACAAACACTGTCCCTGACATACACTGCCGCACTCACACACTTCACCCTTAACACACACCACTGCTCCTATATCCCAGCAGACCCCAGGTAAGTTGTCAAACTGTTCTTAAACGGTATGACTACTTACTCTGGGGTAGAATCCTGGCACTACTGACACCATAACTACTACACTGAGCTGTAGTGGTTATTGTGCCTGGATTATTTATTTAAATAATCTACAAGTGCCCCTCCCGAGATCAGGCTCTGGATCCGCCACTGGTTAGAGAACAAGAAACCTCCTACAGGTAATTATCTTGCTCTCTAACACAGCAACCAAAATACATGTACTGTGGTTGCTTTGGTTACTCTCTATCCCACTGTTCTTGCTCTGGAATATAGGAGCAGAGCAGAATGATATCAGTCATTACAGATTCCTTTTAATGCTGTAATTATGAGAATGTTTAACTTCTCAAGGTTCAACACAACAGAGTCAACTTACAATAGCAGACATTTTAAGAAAGAACAATTCAGGTATCACTTAAATGCATGCAAAAATAATATGTATAAGATATGTTGTGTATACATTTCAGGTCAACTTCATAAACTGATAGCTCAATGCAAAAATATAATTGATGACTTCTGTTTTATTCTCAATGCATCTAGTTAGCTAGAGAAATTATTTTCAACATATTGTTCAAAATATTGATTTAGACTAATAAAAGAAAATACAACTCAATCCTGCTTTTGCTTCTAAATTAAATATAATGCCTCATAATTATTAATATATTTAGAAAGGTGTTTTTAAAATAGGAGGAGTTTTTTCATATATAGGTATGTCTTGGGCTGAACAAACAGTACAGGATTACAAAGAAAAAGCTAACATGTAGCAAGTAGTGATGTCCCGAACGGTTTGCCGAACGGTTCGCCACGGACAGCGAACATATGACCCTGTACCTCACAGTCCGCAGACACATTCCGGCCAATCAGCAGCAGACCCTCCCTCCCAGACCCTCCCACCTCCTGGACAGCTCACTAAGAATTCAGCTTCAAAATGGATGCTGTCCAGGAGGTGGGAAGGTCTGGGAGGGAGGGTCTGCTGCTGATTGGCTGGAATGTGTCTGCTGACTGTGAGGTACAGGGTCATATGTTTGCCGTCTGCGGTGAACCGTTCAGCGAACCGTTCGGGACATCACTAGTAGCAAGTAAGCAAAACTAAGAGTAGTTACCGGAATAGTTTGTGTTGCAAACATAGAGAAACATATCATATATTCTGTTTATTTTACAATGGGATACCTCTATGTTACACTGCTGCTCAAAACAGGACATATAGAGTAAATGGCTAGACTGGGATCCTCAGTCATAGATAGTATGGGGAGACAAAATGAGTGTACTGTACAGATC